TAACTAGTACAGTATTAGTGTGAAGACATTCTTGTCATTTCATTTCTATGGCAGTAAATGTTTTGCTTATTTTGTCACAAGTTATATCAATAATAGGCGTAGAAGTCGATGTAATGTCAGATGAGTGTAAACATTGACTGTTATCAGCTGTGTTAAGGAGGAACTTTGTGAACCTTAGTTTTTTTGTATATATATATGAATAAACGGATGCCAATGTAAGATTCTCTATAATTGCTGTGCCCCAATTTATATGTAAACAGGTACAGACTACTTATCAGAACTTACAGATGTTCGCGTTGACCAATGAGAATGTAAGTCTTGCATTAATTAGTTATGTAGGTACAACTTGAGGCAGTGTGTTAGCCGAGGCAATTTTATGCTTCCCAAATTAAATTTTCTTTAAAGAGAATTTAATTGGATTCATAATGTCTTTAAGTTTAGATCACTCATCAAAATACAGACTGATATTTAGAGAGATCAGTAGCCAGCTAGTTGGACGTTCTTATATTAGCTATAAGTAAGAAAATACCTAAGTTTAATGTAGCCATTATAATTAATACATTGTACCAGACTACCAGGTCTTTGAGTGTACCAGTAGAGTGCATAAGTTTAACAAAGTTTGTATCCTGCTGATCTGGTGAGATCTAATAGATCAGCACTTGATTAGGAATTTTATCAAGAACAGATTTTAATCTATTCAACAGTCTATGATGTTCAATTTAAAAACAATCTGTTGAATTTTCTAATGGTAGTAATGGGATATAACAACATCAGGTTAGTTTAATCAAGACATATATTTGCAAATAAAGCTTTTTTATTTTTCACAAGTTATTTTCTATTATGTCAATTGCAATATATCTGCTGATGGTTTTAATCACCAATTGATGCACCCGGATTTGGCAATTCAAATGTAATGTAAAAGTAATATGTTTTTCTGTAAATCTGTAGAACTTCAAGGGTCACATGAGCACTGTTATCTAGGATGAATCTGGTAATGTTGCCAAGCTTCTAACACATGTGTTTAACTGTTACCCTGTACAAATGGTTAATATTACACAAGTTGGGATCCACAGTTGTTTTGGATTTATCTTCTTGGAGGTGTATTGACCTTTTGTTTGGTAGAGTGGACTATTGTTGTAGAGAGATATGGGGAATGGTGTGTAACCCTTCAGCTCCTCCTATAAGTCTCCAGTCTCTATAGCTGTTACATAAACCATTTGCCTGGAACGTGGATTAATGTAAAAGTTTTAGCTATAAAGGATCACCTCTAAGCATGCCAATTTGATGTCTAGACACAATTCAAGGTCAAAGACTGATCATGTAATGAAATGTGACATTTGACCTCTAGCTAAATTGTCAAGGCCATCTAGCCTGCCAAACGCAGGTTATCTTCTGAGGATCATCACAAATATTGTTTGACCATGCCTGATGGTGATGCTTGGTACCTGTAATGTTAATTGAATAATTGGTATCCGAAATATCATCCATAGTAACAATTGGCATGGTATCTTATCAGAAAACTGGTGTTTACTATAATATTTTCAATATATTGATTAAGTGTAGATGGTATACAGCTGCAGTTACATGTTTTCCTGATCTATAGCAAATTCAAAAAAAAATCCGTTACAGATATTAATGTAATAAACATGTACATGTGATATGATAGTATATGTATTCTCATCGTACATGTACCTATATTATAGGTTGTAGAAAAAACAAAATTCAAGAATTTTCAGTGACAGATAATTTAATTTCAAATTCACATGAATCCTCTGTGATAAGTTTCAGCAGTAGGAAACCTCTACACTATGACACACTGATGCTGTTTACAATAAGTTTATGTCATTAACCATAACAACAGTCTATGTCGCGGCCTAGGTGAGGTAGATAAGACCTGGGTTTGGTTATATGCCAAGTAAGCATGAGGATCACAAGTACTTAACGCAGGAGTATCAACCTGTACCTGGGTGATAGTGGGCTTACTGGCTACCAACCAAAGGTGATGGGAATGTGAGGCTGTATACCTTAGCTTGTTACTTAACGTGATAAGAATGTGAGGCTGTATACCTTAGCTTGTTACTTAACGTGATGAGAATGTGAGGCTGTATACCTAAGCTTGTTACTTAACGTGATGAGAATGTGAGGCTGTATACCATAGCTTGTTACTTAACGTGATGGGAATGTGAGGCTGTATACCTTAGCTTGTTACTTAACGTGATGAGAATGTGAGGCTGTATACCTTAGCTTGTTACTTAACATGATGAGAATGTGAGGCTGTATACCTAAGCTTGTTACTTAACCTGACGAAAGTGTGGAGGTTGTACCTTAGCTTGTTACTAAATGTGATGAGTGTGGAGGCTGTACATCAGCTTGTTCCTAAATGTGATGAGAATATGGAGGCTGTACCTTAGTTTGTTACTAAATGTGATGAGAGTGTGTAGGCTGTACCTTAGTTTGTTACTAAATGTGATGAGTGTGGAGGATGTGCCTTAGCTTGTTACTAAATGTGATGAGAATATGGAGACTGTACCTTAGCTTGTTACTAAATGTGATGAGAGTGTGGAGGCTGTACCTTAGCTTGTTACTAGACGTGATGAGTGTGGAGGCTGTACCTTATTTTGTTACTTATTAAATAGGATGAGAGCGTGGAGGTTTTATCTTTTGATACTAAATATGATGAGAGTGTGGAGGTTGAATCTTTTGTTATAAAACATGATGAGAGTGTTGAGGCTATACCTTATTTTGTTTACTTATTAAATAGGATGGGAATATGGAGGCTGTATCTAAATTTGTTACTGACACTAAATGAGATGAGAGTGTCACTTTGGAGGTTATACCATAGTGTTATTACTGAATGTGATGAGAATGTAGGGTCTGTAGAGGTAAATGAGTTAATAAATGTGATAGAATAGCGAAGTTGTAATATGTTTTGTTACTAATTGCGATGAGACAGTAGAAATTGTTTGGTATTAGATTTAATCGGAATATGGAGGCTGTATCTTATTGTTACCAAATGTGCTTGCATGTGATGGAGTCTTAGTGTACCTTGATTTCGTTACTTATGAGAGTGTGGAGGCTGTATGTTGTAACCAAAGATGGAGAGGATGCTGAGGCGCTCTATCTCTTAAGTAACTTGGCCTTAATTTTGTGCTTAGAAGATGATAAATAATGTTTTATACCTAATCCTCCAGACAGGGGATTAAGTAAGATTTTAAGTTGCATGTATCCAACACAAAGTTAGGCAGTTAGTTTCAGTACATTTTTTATTACCCCAATGCCCCATTACCATTATTCTAGTAGCCAGTGAAATTACTGGTTTCTGATCACTACAAATGAAACCCCTGTCCAGTGGTCCATGGAACAGATGAAACAGATAATTTCTTACAACAAGTATAATGTATAATAGCATCATAGCTGCATGTCATGCATGCACAGTGCAGTTTTGGATGTGGTATTTTGGATGACAAAGTCTCAAGTGACCTATTGTGATGCCTTTTGTCAGGCATCGTGCGTCTATAAACAATTAACATTTTCGACTTCTTCTCCAAAACCACTGAACCAATTTCAATGAAATGTTGCTGAAACCTTCCATGGCCAAAGGCCAACTAAAAGTGTGAATTATGTGGTCCCCAGCCCCCAGGGGCCTAAGAGGCGGGGCCAAAAAGGGTCAAAATGACTAAAATTTAAAAAAAAAATCCTCTCAATATCCAGATATGGTAGAATCGTATACTCTTCATAGATGGAAGGGTTTAAAAAAAAGGTGCTTTACAGAAATTCAGCTGACTGATGATAGAACCACTATTTGAACCACTATTTGTACATAGTACATATACTAACCAGATCTTAAAATGGAAGGGAAATTGATAAATTATAATAAACTGATGTACTTGTGGATTTACATGTATATTACCATGTTGTCCTTCAATAAAGATTAATGTTCAGTGTATCAGTACCAAAAATACTTGAAACATCATCAGTTTAAAATACATTGTAAAGCCATATAACAGGCACTAACCTCATCTGTCATAACATGTTTAATATATATTACCGGGTATAGTGTTTTGACTGACGTGTGGCTAATGCCTGTGGCCAGATATTATAGATGTCAGCAACTTTGCCTGGACAGTTTATCAGATAACTAATTTATATAAAGATCATTTTATTCTGTTGAAATGCTGATGTATACACAATTATCCAGATTTCATTATTCATCAGGCTTGATACTGGCCAGGTGAGCAAGCACTGTATAATTAATTACCTGACACAGGTGGTTCAGCCATGAGCTGGAATGCTGGACTTTTTCATTGTTCTGATAATTACTTCTGAAACTCACTAAGGTGCAACTATAGCTTTATAATGCTATCATACAATTAGATGTTGGAAAACTTTCTTCAGTATGGTTTTAGTGCTTAATACTAGAGAAGATCGTGTATTTACACATGTAGATGTACATTTTATGACTGAATAACATGTCACTGTGATGTCCCTATTGTCACCCATTGTAAGTTAGGCAGTGTCACCCTCTGCTTTACAGCCCAGTCTGTAAATGGTGTGAAATAAATTAGATATAGGAAACCTGACACCTTTGGTTTCACTTTAATTAGCAGACCTCACAGCCCAGTCTGGCCTATAGTTATGTACAGAGAGATACACATCAGCATTCTTGAGCCATAAACATGGGTTGTGGACTTGACTCAGCAGCTGGGACTGATTGTCTGTGACACCACCACCATATGTGTGCAGCACCAGGACAGACTGACCTACCAGCCACATCTTGTATATCAATACACAGTTGTACCCTTAGAGTGGACACTTTGTTTCCTGATCTGGACTGTTTTCTTGTTTCTGGGGTGTCAGCATAAGATTACCTGCTGTGGGACAGAAACTGGACACCGTTTATTTTATGTGCATATAAATTAGTGTTGGATGTGTGTTACTACTGCCAGTCAATTATAGAGGACAAGACTGATGCTCCATGGTCAACCATATACACATCTACACCTAACTGTCTGGAGGCTACAGACTGGCTAGTACATGTATATAGCTGGCCTGGACTGGACCTACCTCGGACAGCAGACTAATACATATTGTATATCATCATATTAAACACTATACCTATAGCTAAAATACAGATTCCTTCACAGCAGCTGTGGAGGTGTCTCGGTGGAAGTGTCTCGGTACAGGTGTGGTATAGGTGTGCCATGTCTGTGGACACAAACACTACAGTGACATCACTATGAGATATACTGGTAACTACAGCCAGTGAATCACCTGGATGGCAGCATGGATAGGTCTAAGGTTGTCAGATGGTTGGATGGTGTCAACTCAGGTAAATGTTTATTGTCACCAAACATGATATATATATATAGTATGAAATATACTGGTTTGACATATTAGCTTTATATTCAAGCCGTTTTAGAGGTTAACATTGTACTCAGTATGGTGGGATATGCTGAGACGTCATATTGTTGTTAAAGGAACGTCAACTCTTCAAGCTCATTAGTTATAAGAGTTACAGTAATGAGATAGCTGGTGAAGGCTATTGCGGTTGATTTAGAGAGTATGTCTTCGTTGATGTAGGGAATGAAAGATAAAGAGATGATCTGTTATTATGTGACTATTACAGACTACCCAGTGGTAGTTCTACAGTATATGTTAGTATACAGTTAAAGTATGGGGTTGAGTGATATAGGAAGTTTCTGGTGTCCCGAGACCAGGTCTATTTCCCGAGGCGAAGCCGAGGGAAATAGGCATGGTCAAGGGACACCAGAAACTTGCTATATCACTCAACCCCATACTTTACCTTTTTACCGCACCAGAGTTGAGATATATACAATGATAGCTATATAATACAACATGGTTTTTCTTCAGTTTTCACTGTCATGAGGCTTACTTACATGCTCAACAACACCCTGCAGTTCAAGATTGAGAAAAAGTATATACCTGCTATTAACCACTGCATGTTGTGAGAGGCAACGTATGTGGGAACCCTCTCTTTTTTGCCTTCCCCTTGGGGATACTGATCATGAATTGACCAATGTTCGGACCACTTTCATTTTCTAATGCCTTACTTGGTAATTATAATACCTATAGGTTTTGTCCTTGGTGTTGATTGTATCAGAGAGTGTTCTCCCAAGCAAGGAAGATTATTAGTTCTAGTCCTGAGCCTGAGTGAAAATTTGTATGTAATGCCCCATGCTTGATGTTCAGCTAAATGGGTATCTGTGAGGACAAGTTAACCCAGTTCTCAGTATGTGATCTGGTGGAGTGCCATGCTACTGTGTCCAGGTTATGACATCATTGGTGGACACCATCTTGACATTTGTTTCGAGGGCATAAAACTCCAAACAGCAAACTTATACTTGTTCAAGGCCATGCTAATGTATTTCATGGCCTTCATGTTTATATATCTTCAATGTTATGTTTATATTTGTGTTGAATGTCATGATGTTTATATATCTTCAAGGTCATGATGTTTATACATTTTTAAGGTCATGATGTTTATATATCTTCAAGGTCATGATGTTTATACATTTTTAAGGTCATGATGTTTATATAATATTTCAAGGTCATGATGTTATTATATTTTCAAGGTCATGATGTTTAAACATTTTCAAGGTCATGATGTTTATATAATTTCAAGGTCATGATAATATTATATTTTCAAGGTCATGATATTTATACATTTTCAAGATCATGATGTTTTTATATGTCCCAATTCCAAATTCAAGGTTATGATCTTAATGTATGTTCAGTGTTATGATGCATCATTTAATGAAACTCATTAATTTATTCTATATAATTATCAGTTCCCTTTCAGTATAATCTATTTTTAAAACAGGCATTTTGGCTCTCGTTTGATAAGTTTGGTTTACCAGAGACCCTGAACTTATCCTTATCAAAAAACCCATTATTATCAAAAAAGCAACATTATTTTGTGTTTGGTATGATGTAGAGGATATCTCATCTTATACCAGAAATTACATTCAATCAGCACTTTTCGTTCAAGGTCAAGCTTTTTGAAAAATTAAGAATTACTGATTCCCTATCAAGCAGTCTTTGATGTGAATTTTACAAGGAATTATTTTCAGCATCTTACCAAACAGACGTATGTGGGATATGATTGCAACTCTTTTACACTGCCTCCTAGTGTAATTTAATTTGTGGGTTTGCCAAAATGGAGTGCTTCCAATCAACTGTCAATTTTGATTTGAATTACTCATGCAGAAGTCAGAAATTTAATCTGAGGACATATACCATTTCAATACTTTCAGAGAAAGCATGAAATGTGGATTTGCTGTGATGCATTAAATCACATGTACTTGCCTGCCAATGATAGGCAGAAGAATTTAGAAAATGCATGGAATTCATTTACGTACATGGTTCATGTATATTTTAACTATTTTATGGGATGACGTTCTATATATGTTTGTACTGAAGTATTAGTATAAAGTACCTAGATGATTTTAAATGGATGCAACAGATCTGATATGGAAAGGTGAGAATTCAGATATGAAGAAAATATGAAAAAGTAAATGTTGTGCTGTGATTATGTACTGGAATATAATTTCAATATTAAGGTGTTCTTTGGTCTGAAATCAATCACTTTATGTTTTTTAGAGAAAGTAAAGTACAGAGCTGCAGAAAATGGAGGCCATTGTGCAAATGACTTGAATGGTACGTATCTAGATATAGATGGCAGGTGAGGTTGATACAGCTAGAATGGTACGTATCTAGATATAGATGGTTGGCGAGGTGGATACAGCTAGAATGGTACGTCTCTAGATATAGATGGTTGGCGAGGTGGATACAGCTAGAATGGTACGTCTCTAGATATAGATGGTTGGCGAGGTTGATACAGCTAGAATGGTACATTTCTAGATATAGATGGTTGGCGAGGTTGATACAGCTAGAATGGTACGTATCTAGATATAGATGGCTGGAGAGGTCAATGTATCTTTGAATGTATCTAGATTTAGATGGCTGGGGAGGTCAATGTATCTGTGAATGTATCTAGATTTAGATGACAGGGGAGGTCAATGTATCTGTGAATGTATCTAGATTTAGATGGCTGGGGAGGTGAATGTATCTGTGAATGTATCTAGATTTAGATGACTGGGGTGGTCAATGTATCCGTGAATGTATCTAGATTTAGATAGCTGGGGAGGTCAATGTATCTGTGAATGTATCTAGATTTAGATGGCTGGGGCGGTCAATGTATCTGTGAATGTATCTCGATTTAGATGGCTGGGGAGGCGAATGTATCTAGATTTAGATGGCTGGGGTGGTTAATGTATCTAGATTTAGATAGCTGGGGAGGTTAATGTATCTGTGAATGTATCTCGATTTAGATGGCTGGGGAGGCGAATGTATCTAGATTTAGATGACTGGGGTGGTTAATGTATCTAGATTTAGATGGTTGGGGAGGTGAATGTATCTAGATTTAGATGGCTGGGGAGGTCAATGTATCCGTGAATGTATCTAGATTTAGATATCCACATTAGGTCACTATTGCTGGGGTGGCTGATATAGCGAGAATGGTATTCCTGGCATGTATCTAGAATGGCAAGGTTGATCAATATAGCTGAAGAAAAGTACACGATGTATCTAGATATATATTGCTTGGAAAGATAATATTGATACAATATTGTGTATCCAGATGCCAAGGGCCAGGGAAGTTAATTTATTGCTAGAATGGTACATATCTATATATACAGAAGACTAGAGGGTCAGTATACCTAGAATGATTTACTGTATATGATGGTTAACTGTGAATATATCAGGGCTCCTATTCATGAAGTCTACTCATGCTTCAACTGAGATTTTGTGCTCAAGTCCATTTTCTGGTTCTGCTGATAAATCAATCATATATCACATTTTTTCCTATGATGTTTACGAATTTGGGAGAAACTTGAAGCAGAACATTATTTAAGTGCTTTGGATGTGTGACATGCTTGAGCATGAGAACGGTTTCAGGAATATTGGCCTCGTTGTATCCCTCATTGAGTTTTAAGAGACAACACCAGCTTTACATGAAGTGGTGTCATTTATTGAAGAGTATGAGTCTTTATATAAATGACCTTGACAGTTTAAAAATGGTTGTGGCCTGAGTTTGTACAGTTATTCTTACTGTGGCATCCTGGGAAAATTGTTATGATGAAAGGATGCAAAATTTGTTACATTTCCCAGAATATTAAAAATTAAGCAAATTATTGTAGAAAATGTGAATTTTGATATGTTGCCTACACAATGCTAGCCATGATTTGTATGAGATAGACTGGGACCTTCGACTGGGGAGATGGAACTGGAGGTCGACGGGGGCCTGATACTTACCAAAGTAACCATGTTGTTGGGTACACTCTGGTGATAAGGCAGGGAGGTCTGATAAAACTGTCAGCGCCTAATCAGGCCGGAGAAGTACCAGATTACAACCACCTGAGGGACAAAATTAGTCCATTGTACAGGCACATATTGGCCATTGTCCCAGACCCTGCACTCTGTCTATACTTAACAGAGCAATACTTTTTATTTTCAAGGTAACTGGTGGATGAAAAACAGAACCTAACCAGAAAGTAATTTGCTCTGATTTGAAAAGGAAAATGAAGTTTTTTAGCACAATGATAAAACTGGAAAAGGTTATTATTAGATCTTAATTGGTCATAGTGATATAAACAAAACTGTCCAATTTAAGATCTACAGGGGTCAATTGTATATGAAAAATGCACTAAGATGTGTCCAGTGTGAAGTGTGTTTTTGCCAAATACAATAATGTTGATGTAATGCTCAAAGGTACATGACAAAAATCAATTTTATATCGCTTTTACACATACTGTATTTTCTACACTAGTCTAGTAGATAAATTGACATTCATTTCATTGTCATTACTAACTTTTTTCAAAGTATACACCTGCAATATTATCTATATCATAAGGATACCGACTTTTCAGTACTCATTTGTTTTGGTAACAAGACATTTTGGTTCCAAGCTGTTTTGGTAATTCTTCAAGATGTTTCAGTACATCCCAAAAGTTGTTTTGATATTTGATCAGATTTTCGGCTCTTGGGTTGTGGTATAACCTTGTACTTAGTTTGCTCTTTGTGTCCTGTGATTTACTGATTTGATATTTCAAGATTTTTCAGCTTTTTCTGTCTTTACCTAAAAGTACTGAAACATCTTTTTCTGAAATTCCAAACATAACAGGTAGAGAAATGTCAAGGATTCATATCATATTGAGGAATATTTTACATATATTTCAAATGTTAATTTGTCTCTTCTTTTTTTAGCTTTGACACAAATAGTGATCTATTTGGTGTTTATTTCAGATGACAACAATGGAGTGACCACAGTTGAGTTACTGAAGAGAGATGGATTTGGACTGGGACTTATCATTTCAGGTATGGAAGTTCAATGTATATGCTTGTAGAAATATTCAGAAAAAAATGAAAAATTCACTAGAAAAGTCCTTTTCAAGCCAGTTTACATGAAACACATGAAACAGGTACAACAACTGAAGTGATTTTATATACCTGGTATTCCTGGTATTCTTTTTAAATAACCACAAATGTATATTTGTCAAACCATGATCATTATATCATAGCCTGGAACATAGTTGAGTTAAAAGGATAGAAAGTTTACTAAAAAACAACCTTGACCTACTTTCAGGGTCATAGGTCATATGTGTTAAAAAGGATTTTTAAAGATCGATGCAACTGTATAAAACGCACAACCACTGTTACTTACTAACAACTTCTATGGTTCATCATACAGGGTACTTGGTACTCACTACTTGCCATAATTAATACGGTTTATTTAATTAGGTATGATAATAGGCAAATATTAGTTGGTGAACTTGTGAAGTCTATTAGTGTGTATTTCTAGTGACAAAATGATTGGACATGGGAACCAGCAGCACAGTCTTTATTACAGGCTAATCCCAATTTCGTGATTTTTTTGTCAAATTTTGGAAATTCCGGAGGTGAAGTTTTTCCCTCGCGGAGCTTTATTGGAGTTTAGGAAAAGTCTTTTAAGATGAGAAAATTGCTTGACTTCATTAATGCTTTTCTTAGCATAAACTTAAGTTAAAGAATTTTCTTAAGTCAAGGGACATTCATGAAACTGGGGGCCATTCTGTTCTGTTGTATACTTCGTATGTTAAATATACCCCCTGTTTATCAGAGCTTCATCACATGTCACTGATGTCTGTTCATGCGCGAGTTGTCAAACCAACACTTAGACATTCCGCTCACTAAGTGGTGTCAGTTTGTTCCACTGAAAGAGAAAATTGTCCATTATTGTTATAATTCATACGGACAGGAAGACAATTTAGCAAAAAAAGTCAATGCCATTGCATTTTTGTACACGTAGTCCCATTGAGCTATTGGAAAGAATGTTAGGGTGACATAGTTTTATTTTCTAGACCGTAACTTATGAGTTGTCAACCAAAGTCTTTCATTACCCAGAAAAGATAGACTATCATAAAATTGTCTATGATTAGAGAGTGTCAAACATGTTTATATAGCAGTAGCTATCTTACTTTCATGTTATGTGCTTAGTATACAAATTCCTTCAATCACGAGCTAACAGTGTATAGAAGGAAACCCAGAAAGATATCGTAGCTGTTGCCACATAGATTTGACGTGTTGGTCTATAAATATCGGCCCTGGACAGCACTTCGTTTAGAGTAAATGGGCATACAATTTTCCAGCCAGTAGCGTGCTGGGATGAAGGGCTACAAAGTTTGTTCAAATGACTGACCTTGACCCACTTTCTAGGTCACTGGGGTCAAATGTTTAAAAGATCTTCATATAAATTCTTCTGAAAAACCAAGAGGCACAGGCTGCTGATACCTAGCCAGTAGCATGTTGGGATGAAGGGCTACTAAAGTTGTTAATATGAATTACCTTGACCCACATTTATGGTCACTGGGGTCAATTGTGTTAAAATCTGTAAAAACTTCTTCCCAACTGTCAAAAGGCCTAGGGTGATAAATATGCCCAATAGAATACTGAGATGAAGGGCTACAAATCCCTCAGGATTTTCAAATTTGAAAACCTCTCCGGTGGAATTTCCCTAATCCTACAACCCTGGGCATGAAAGAGTCTTACACTATCTTGCAAAAAGTTAGCGTATCTCTCCTGGAGAGATATTTGAATCATTCTCTTATATCTAGAAAGTTAGTTTTCCCGATACATGTCAGTACAATCTGGATTTTAAAGGTCCCTCTGTAAAGGTTACACACCAGACTTGGTGTATACAGATTGTTTTTATCAGTTTTAAAGTTCAACGAGAACATTTTTCTCAGTATATTAAACATTAAACAAGTGGCAGGAAGAGGTATTGTTTGGGTGGGGAATTACTTGTCAGAAGTTTGTTTAAAGTGTGGAACGCTTTGTACAACAGACAGTTGCAATCAGGTATAAACACCAGCTTAGATGGATTTTCATCATCCCCTGTCAAATTTACTTTTTTGCCCCCTGGTTTGCCTGCTGAAAAACTCAAAGACACTACATGTTATTAGGGGAAAATAACAATGTCTCGGTACTTTGTGTTTTTCCTGTTTTCCTGTGGCAGGCTTATACAGGTGGTAACACTAAAGTCGCTTGTCAATCACTGTAGATCTTTGCCAGCCCTTGTAATGTGTACATGTAGTTACATTGGCCCACTCTACACTAGATGCTTCTCCCAGCCTGCCCTCAGACAGATACCGATGCTGGTTCCCCTATGTTCCTGTCTTGGTTTGACGTCCCACCTGATAGCTATAATGTACTTCTAAGATTGTGTCAAATTAGATGTAAGATGAGTGTTTAAGTGATCCTGCCTTTGCTGCATAGCTGTCATAAGAAAACAGTCTGGCGGGGATTTCATCCAGGTCTTGATTTTGAAATCTTTCCTTTTGTACATACCGGTACCCATCACTCTGATTTATTATCTACTAAGAACCACTTTTCCTGAAATGATATCAAGACACTTAGATGTTGGAATTTGTTTAAATCCTAGGTGTAACATTTTACATTGTTTCCTTATTGAATGTGTTATTGCATCACTTCCCTTAACTTGTCGAGAGGAAGTGGTTTTGATGATGTAATAAAAGATTGTGTCGATGTTATCATACTTTTAACCTCATTCACCACAATCTCAACAACCAACACCACCATCAGGTGCCCTCCCCACCATTCCCAGACAGAGGTCAAAGTTTAACAGACTACAATTATTGTATATTGGGTATTGAGATAAGAAAGTCTCAGTGATGAGTTTTGGATGTTCTGTTTTTATGTCTCTGTGGTGTAGTGTTGACTTGATGTTTACTGGGTGTGATAAATGATATGTCTGACCAACCTCAAATGATTTATACTGTAAAGAAAGAAATAGGACAAAATAAGAAAAAACATAAAATGTTGATAGAACTTTATTAAGTTTCTTGTGCCTATAATCGGCATTGTTGAATTATTTTTATTTTTCATAGGTGGAGTAGACAAAAATCTCCGAGCACAAATCTCCAATCTGAAACCAGGGGGTATAGCTTACAGGTAAGTGTATGTAAATATGATGAGACAATAAAACAGGATCCATTTGTAAAGTCAGGTGTGTATGTATTGTATTTAATAGTTCAACAATACTGATTTGATTCATTGGTAGGAACATTATTTCTTGGCATTGATGACATTTTGTATTGCTAGGTTGTTAAGAACATGATACAAACATTGGATAAGAGCTCTGCATCAGAGTTGTGGATACCTCATAGTAATCACAGTGTCTGTCCCTCTGTTGGTGTGTGGATACCTCATAGTAATCACAGTGTCTTTCCCTCTGTTGGTGTGTGGATACCTCATAGTAATCACAGTGTCTGTCTCTCTGTTAGTGTGTGGATACCTCATAGTAATCACAATGTCTGTCTCTCTGTTAGTGTGTGGATACCTCATAGTAATCACAGTGTCTGTCCCTCTGTTAGTGTGTGGATACCTCATAGTAATCACAGTGTCTGTCCCTCTGTTAGTGTGTGGATACCTCATAGTAATCACAGTGTCTGTCCCTCTGTTAGTGTGTGGATACCTCATAGTAATCACAGTGTCTGTCCCTCTGTTAGTGTGTGGATACCTCATAGTAATCACAGTGTCTGTCCCTCTGTTAGTGTGTGGATACCTCATAGTAATCACAGTGTCTGTCCCTCTGTTAGTGTGTGGATACCTCATAGTAATCACAGTGTCTGTCCCTCTGTTAGTGTGTGGATACCTCATAGTAATCACAGTGTCTGTCCCTCTGTTAGTGTGTGGATACCTCATAGTAATCACAGTGTCTGTCCCTCTGTTAGTGTGTGGATACCTCATAGTAATCACAGTGTCTGTCCCTCTGTTAGTGTGTGGATACCTCATAGTAATCACAGTGTCTGTCCCTCTGTTAGTGTGTGGATACCTCATAGTAATCACAGTGTCTGTCCCTCTGTTAGTGTGTGGATACCTCATAGTAATCACAGTGTCTGTCCCTCTGTTAGTGTGTGGATACCTCATAGTAATCACAGTGTCTGTCCCTCTGTTAGTGTGTGGATACCTCATAGTAATCACAGTGTCTGTCCCTCTGTTAGTGTGTGGATACCTCATAGTAATCACAGTGTCTGTCCCTCTGTTAGTGTGTGGATACCTCATAGTAATCACAGTGTCTGTCCCTCTGTTAGTGTGTGGATACCTCATAGTAATCACAGTGTCTGTCCCTCTGTTAGTGTGTGGATACCTCATAGTAATCACAGTGTCTGTCCCTCTGTTAGTGTGTGGATACCTCATAGTAATCACAGTGTCTGTCCCTCTGTTAGTGTGTGGATACCTCATAGTAATCACAGTGTCTGTCCCTCTGTTAGTGTGTGGATACCTCATAGTAATCACAGTGTCTGTCCCTCTGTTAGTGTGTGGATACCTCATAGTAATCACAGTGTCTGTCCCTCTGTTAGTGTGTGGATACCTCATAGTAATCACAGTGTCTGTCCCTCTGTTAGTGTGTGGATACCTCATAGTAATCACAGTGTCTGTCCCTCTGTTAGTGTGTGGATACCTCATAGTAATCACAGTGTCTGTCCCTCTGTTAGTGTGTGGATACCTCATAGTAATCACAGTGTCTGTCCCTCTGTTAGTGTGTGGATACCTCATAGTAATCACAGTGTCTGTCCCTCTGTTAGTGTGTGGATACCTCATAGTAATCACAGTGTCTGTCCCTCTGTTAGTGTGTGGATACCTCATAGTAATCACAGTGTCTGTCCCTCTGTTAGTGTGTGGATACCTCATAGTAATCACAGTGTCTGTCCCTCTGTTAGTGTGTGGATACCTCATAGTAATCACAGTGTCTGTCCCTCTGTTAGTGTGTGGATACCTCATAGTAATCACAGTGTCTGTCCCTCTGTTAGTGTGTGGATACCTCATAGTAATCACAGTGTCTGTCCCTCTGTTAGTGTGTGGATACCTCATAGTAATCACAGTGTCTGTCCCTCTGTTTGTGTGTGGATACCTCAGTAATCACAGTGTCTTTCCCTCTGTTGGTGTGTGGATACCTCATAGTAATCACAGTGTGTGTCCCTCTGTTAGTGTGTGGATACGTTATAGTAATCACAGTGTCTGTCCCTCTGTTAGTGTGTGGATACCTCATAGTAATCAGTGTCTGTCCCTCTGTTAGTGTGTGGATACCTCATAGTAATCACAGTGTCTGTCCCTCTGTTAGTGTGCTCATCTGTCTCTCCATCCATACTTTTGTTTTCAGAGATAATATCAGAATCCAGAAATCTAAAATTTCTAAAAAAAAAATCAGGGGTATACATTTATGCGTAAAAAAAATGTGAAGGTCACTGTAACTTAATTAAATTAGAACAGGGATTGGGACAGATAGGTAAACTGTCAAAAATAAATTGGTGTGCCTCTACTGATATCCTTTGTTACTAACGCCATATTTCCCAGAATGTGAAATCTAAGATGGACACTATTGATTGCCTCTAATTGGCTGAGACATATACAATGTATTGAAATAGCTTTGTTCTATTTATACAAATTGATTCATGCATGTAATACTTAATGGAAATTGAATGAATAAGGATCCCATAATCCAAGATGGCCACCATGGCTTCTGCATGGCCAGGACTTCTCAAGCTGTAATTTCTGTTGTGTCTTACTTGATGGTAGTAGGTGTTTTTGTATTTCATATGTGTTAGTGCCTCATAACCAGTAAATGGAAACCTAAAATGATTGCTTTGGCTTCTGCTTGGCCATGAGGAGGGACATGTATGGTCAAGCACATGGAAGGGTCATTGCTGACCTGACAGTGGTCTAGTTTCTTAGGCTTGCAGTATAAATGTACCTGAAGGGACATAACTCTGTCAAAGTGACGATGCATATGTTAACGTTGCAGGTCTGACTGTCTGGAGATTGGGGACTACATCCTGTCAGTCAATGGAATTAAGACGGTGGACATGAAACATGATGAGATCATTAGTCTCCTACGTAATGTCGGCGAGCAAGTTCTGCTGGAGGTGGAGTACCAACTACCTGATAATAGTAAGTACATGTGGTGCTGGTGGTTGAGTACCAACTACCTGATAATAATAAGAACATGTGGTGGTGGAGGTGGTGGAGTACCAACTACCTGATAATAGCAAGTACATGTGGTGGTGGAGGTGTAGTACCAACTACCTGATAATAGCAAGTACATGTGGTGGTGGAGATGAAGTACCAACTACCTGATAATAGCAAGTACATGTGGTGGTGGAGTACAACCTACCTGATAATAGTAAGTACATGTGGTGGTGGAGTACCACCTACCTGATAATAGTAAGTATATGTGGTGCTGGAGGTGGAGTACCACCTACCTGATAATAGTAAGTACATGTGGTGGTGGAGTACCACCTCCCTGATAATAGTAAGTACATGTGGTGCTGGAGGACCAACTACCTGATAATAGTAAGTATATGTGGTGCTGGAGGTGGAGTACCAACTACCTGATAATAATAAGTACATGTGGTGGTGGAGGTGGAGTACCAACTCCCTGATAATAGTAAGTACATGTGGTGGTGGAGGTGGAGTACCAACCACCTGATAATAGTAAGTACATGTGATGGTGGAGGTGGAGTACCAACTACCTGATAATAATAAGTACATGTGGTGGTGGAGGTGGAGTACCAACTCCCTGATAATAGTAAGTACATGTGGTGCTGGAGGACCAACTACCTGATAATAGTAAGTATATGTGGTGCTGGAGGTGGAGTACCAACTACCTGATAATAATAAGTACATGTGGTGGTGGAGGCGGAGTACCAACTACCTGATAATAGGAAGTACATGTGGTGCTGGAGGTGGAGTACCAACTACCTGATAATAATAAGTACATGTGGTGGTGGAGGTGGAGTACCAACTACCTGATAATAATAAGTACATGTGGTGGTGGAGGTGTAGTACCAACTACCTGATAATAGTAAGTACATGTGGTGGTGGAGGTGGAGTACCAACTCCCTGATAATAGTAAGTACATGTGGTGGTGGAGGTGGAGTACCACCTACCTGATAATAGTAAGTTTATGTGGTGCTGGACGTGGAGTACCACCTACCTGATAATAGTAAGTACATGTGGTGTTGGAGGTGGAGTACCACCTACCTGATAATAGTAAGTACATGTGGTGGTGGAGGTGAAGTACCAACTACCTGATAATAGTAAGTACATGTGGTGCTGGAGGTGGAGTACCAACTACCTGATAATAATAAGTACATGTGGTGCTAGAGTACCAACTACCTGATAATAGTAAGTACATGTGGTGCTGGTGGTGGAGTACCAACTACCTGATGATAGTAAGTACATGTGGTGGTGGAGGTGGAATACAAACTACCTGATAATAGTAAGTACATGTGGTGCTGCAGGTGGAGTACCAACTACCTGATAATAGTAAGTACATGTGGTGCTAGAGGTGGGCAGTAAATAGAGAGTTAATACTTGATGGATATAAAATAGATACTGAATAAGGATTCCTGGATCGGAAACTGATGTAGGCTTGTACTGTTAGAAGGAAATATAGAGATAGCAGTTGTTGCATAGTGATGGTGAATAAAGACATGTCTGTCCGGGTGAATATGAAATAGAAACCTAGGCTTGGTGAACCATAGATTGTGGATAGGAATATGTGAGATTGACTGTTTTGGTGGAAAGGTTACAGAGAGATTAACTAGATGGATATGAAATGGAGATAAAAGCTTGGTAAATATTTTTGGTGGGAAATAGTCAATAAAGATAAGTTTGGCAATAGGAAAGGGACTTAATGTAAAAGTTTACCGGTAGTGTATTGAATAGCATATATAGACTTGGATAAGAAATAGAGATACATACTTGTAGATAAGGTTAAGGGAAATGTGATTGATGGGTAAGAAATAAAGATACTTGATTGATGAAAACAAAATAGAGACCTAACTCTAAGCTTGGTGGATAAAAAGTAAAGTTAGGTAGGAATCAGAGACTTAGGATTATAGGAAGTATAGACCTAGAATTATAAGCAATAAAGACCTAGACTTGATGGGTAGTCAAGAGGTAAGCTTGATGGAAAGAAGTAGAGAAGTTTGGTGGTTATGAAATAGAGATTTAGATTTTCCTGTAATGAATGTATTTATAATTATCCTGAATGTTCCAATCTTTGTTGTAATGAAACCTTGACTTACAGCCATTTCAGACTCCTTCGCTGTCAGCTGGAAGCAGAGTAATATCACCCTAGAAAAGGAGGGTCAGAGTTTTGGTTTTACATTGAGGGGAGGTTACCATGAAAAACAGGCGAAGATCCGCCCCCTAACTGTCACTCACATCAGAGGAGGTGGACCTGCAGACAGGTAATAAGATATGACTACGGATCAATTTACTTATTTACATCTTCGCAGAAACAGACATCTCACAAAATGATTTGCAGTAACCTGTCCATATTATACCTATAATTTATGAACGGGTTGTCTCCCCCTTATGAATTTCCAATTTTCCACATTCCACTTGTATGTTTTATTTTCCAGGGAGGGATCTATAAAGATTGGAGACAGGATTGTGGCCATTAATGAGTACAACGTGGCCCACTTCACCCTGTCAGAGGTCAACATGTTCGTACAGCAGTGTGGTCAGGAGGTGACCTTCACCTTCGAGTATGATGTGTCGGTCATGGGTAAGTGAGGTCAAGGTCATTTAGAGGTGATCTTGTCCTTAAAGCAATATGGTTAAGAGATAACCTTCCCCAGAAAGAATGGCATATCTTTCAGATTGAATAAGGTCATGGAGTCTGATGTGTATGTATGTTATGATAGGTAGGTAATCAAGGTCAGAGGTAAGATTTCACACAATTGTAAAATGCTGTGATTCCTTTGGCCATGTATGTGTGCCATATTCTTGTTAGATTCAAATTCTGTGTTCATCTCAATCCTAATGAAAGTTGAAAATATTTTTGGAAAATTCATATTATGATCTATTTTGCTGAGATTTAGAGCAAAATACCAATCCAGTTATAATACCAGGTACAGTCTGTATCTGTTTTCTGATCTTTACACGATCATGGCAAATTATAAGAACTTGTCTTTAAGTACATGATTTTGTTTTATTAGATGCAGTAAAGAATGCACTAGGTGCCCTACTGGTGGAGATAGACAAGCTGCCTGGCGTGACACTGGGGATCGCTCTCACTCAGGCCTCCCATCAGGGGCGCTGGTGTCTTTGTATAGACAACATGCAGCCCATGTCTATAGCAGACAGGTACTTCCTCCCTTACACCAATTCTTCTACAAGTTCCACTTTTTGACAGCAGCGGACATTAACAAATTATTGAAGCATTTATATCAAAAGAACCGTTCCCTAGTTAAAAAGGACATGAGTTACACACTATTCACAAGATCCTTGAAATTGTGATAGACTTGAAATTAACTTAAAATTGTGATAGACTGAAAGTTGTGATAGACTTAAAATTGTGATAGACTTGAAATTGTGATAGACTTTAAATTATGATAGACTTAAAATTGTGATAGACTTGAAATTGTGATAGATTTAAAATTGTGATAGACTTGAAATTATGATAGACTTGAAATTGTGATGGACTTGAAATTGTGATAGACTTAAAATTGTGATAGACTTGAAATTGTGATGGACTTAAAATTGTGATAGACTTGAAATTGTGATGGACTTAAAATTGTGATAGACTTGAAATTGACTTAAAATTGTGATAGACTGAAAGTTGTGATACACTTGAAATTGTGATAGATTCTCCTTCCCTGTTACAGGGAAAATGTATATCTCGCTAAAAAGGAAACGATCGATAGTATAGGGAAATGTATTTCTTAATGCTTGGCCCTAAATGACTTAATTTGTCAATTGGTTCATAGAACAATACAAATTTCTTAATGCAAAAGTATAACTTACATATATGTGTTGGTAGCATATTTATTCATTCTTTTTTAGATGTGGAGCACTAAATATTGGGGACCTGATCCTGTCAATAGACGGTGCCACAGTGGAACACATGTCAATAGCAGAGGCGACGCAGCTACTGCGGAATAGTACAGAGGATGTGGTGAAGCTGGAGATACTGCCGGTCAGGGTCGTCCAGCAACAAAATTCCCGAGACATCCTCAGTAAAAATGGCATGTTTTCTAATCCTGGTATGTGTACAAGGCAAGCCAAATCATCAGTATAAAAAGCATGTTCTCAGCCCCATGTACATGTACAGAAAAACAGAAAAACTTGTTTACTCAATGAAAATAGCACATTTCTCACAACTTCTGACAGAATGGAATATGTTTAGTTTATGAACTTTTTGGATTTCGAAGTATTACAATTTTATTTATATACTCAAGTAATCACAAGTAAATATTTTACAAGATAAATACAGTTGAGAACTGATTATCCAAACCAAACATTAGACATATAAATGGTTCAGATAGGCAGTTGTTCGGATAATGGGTCACACAGCATTATTGGAAGTAATTAATTGGACACATCTGAGGTTCAAACTATTGAAAGTTCTGATAATTGGGGCTTGATAATCAGATATAACTTAAGTTTTGGGTTAAGTTGTGAGTAAATTCGTAATTTAATGTTTGAGTAAAAAATTATTCCAGCAAATGGCAACATATCTTTCCGTGTTCAATTTGCAACTTTCTGTCTTCATGAATCAGTTGTGTTTGAAGTCAAATTGTCAAAATAAGTATTTTGCAAAAAAAAAAAAAAAAGGTTTTAGATGATACAAATTTATATGTTGTTTCAGCATGATGTTCTCTTGCCTTATCGTGGCCTCATGTCTATTTCTACATTATCCTCACTCAGCCTCATTTCTCTTACAGTAAGAAATTCTCATCTAGCTGCCGCATCCTCCTTCCCTGCTATCCCATCATCCTTCTCCACTCCTGTAGGGTTCGGCAGTAAGCATCCCATAGCATCCAGCATGTTGTCCTTTCCTTGTGGGTCAGGTACATTGAAAATGTCAGGAAGGAAACAAGCTGCCCTTGTAAGGGGGAGCAAAAAACCTAGCTCTTGTAGTGAGTATCCTTTCGTTTCTTATATTAACTCATTCACCCCTGAAATTTCATAATGAACTATTCCAACCTTTGAGTTGGAAGGGTTCAATTGTGTCTTGAGGGGTGAATGAGTTAAACAAAGTATATCATCTTGCATGATATTTTTGCAATTTCATGTATTCAGTGATAAATCTATTCTGCTTGATATATGAGACACTTGCGTAATTTTCAAATATAAGCCTTGGCATGTTATCCAAAATATTTTTTGATACTGCTAGAAATAGACCAGTACATTGAAGTAATGAATCATAGCAATTCTCAATATTCAAACTTAATCTTAGAAAAAAATCATTCTGAACAGCTTTGAAGTAAAATTCTGAAATAACTGACAGTGCAATCTCTTAGAGCTGGTGGCAGCGAAAAAATATTGGCATTTCAAAATTTTATTTGTAAATTATTAATGTATTTTATCATACATAAAGTTCGCAGGAAATGGAAATTCTGCCTGAGGGTATAATTGCCATATCATCTTACCTCCATAATGATTGACCAAAATGAAAATTTGATGAAGTCACATTTCAAAACATTTGCAAATATGTTGCCGAACATTTTGAACTCATGACTCAATTAGCTTTTGAGCCCATTCTAATAAGGATTTAGAAAAATGTAGTTCCCAAATTTGAGAGCATTGGTTGTACCTATGTGGATTAAAGTTAAAAAAAAATCATGAAGTAAAAGTAATTTTTTTTTTAGTGATGTTTCTCTTCTGTTTTAACCAGTGTCTATATCATCAGCGACAACATCTATGATGGTCAGTAACCAGGTATGCCACTCAGAGACATTAACGGTCAATTTGAAGGGGGACTACCGTGGACTAGGGATGATCGTCACTGGTAACAGCGACCATACCGTCCTTGATGATTTCCCAGTGGTGTCGTGTTTACAGCTGGGCAGTGTAGCAGAGAGGTAAGTATAGTTCCTGCTTTTTGACTAATCCCATATTCACTCTCTGCCATCAACAGTATACCAACATATTCATTAGGTGAAAGACACTTTTAAGAAAATATTTCTCTGAAATTACTTATCGATGTATTTTTACCCCTTGGTACCAAATTGGGTTGGGCATATAGTGTTACTCTTCTGTATGTTTATATAATATTTTTATTTAGTTGAGTTACTGAGAAATTAAAGTCCTGCAACTACAGTCATGCATCTTCACATGCTTATGTTTGTTAACATTTTGATGACCTTGAACTTTGTGACCTTTGTTAAGCTTTTGCAATTCTTGACCTTTTGCCTTTGCATATGTGAACTTGCTTTAGTTCATAAATGTAGGAGCAGGGCATCCTCTTCTTAAAGATACATTTCTAGTTTGTTTTTGATATAACGAAAATGAATTTGAAATACTTTATTCAGGTTCCTAACCCTACATCATTGTAACCTTGTGTTGTAGGTGTGGCCTGTTACAGGAGGGAGACCGAGTGCTATCTGTCAATGGGAAGGACACATGTGATTGTAGCTTAGAGGAGGTGAGCCGTGTCCTCAGACAGCCCAAACTCAGTACTGAGCTGGAGGTGGAGTTTGACATCACAGGTACGTAGCATCATTGTGGAGTTTACCAAATATTTCCCTCGTTTGATTATGAAAATGCATAAACCACTCTACTCAATTTCCGTAGAGTTTCTGGTTACTGTTGATCTAGCTGATGTGGGTGATACTCACTCAGTTCTGGTACTGTAAATGTATTATTGACATTACAGAGTCGGTGATGCCCAGTTCTGGTACTGTAAATGTATTATTGACATTACAGAGTCGGTGATGCCCAGTTCTGGTACTGTAAATGTATTATTGACATTACAGAGTCGGTGATGCCCAGTTCTGGTACTGTAAATGTATTATTGACATTACAGAGTCGGTGATGCCCAGTTCTGGTACTGTAAATGTATTATTGACATTACAGAGTCGGTGATGCCCAGTTCTGGTACTGTAAATGTATTATTGACATTACAGAGTCGGTGATGCCCAGTTCTGGTACTGTAAATGTATTATTGACATTACAGAGTCGGTGATGCCCAGTTCTGGTACTGTAAATGTATTATTGACATTACAGAGTCGGTGATGCCCAGTTCTGGTACTGTAAATGTATTATTGACATTACAGAGTCGGTGATGCCCAGTTCTGGTACTGTAAATGTATTATTGACATTACAGAGTCGGTGATGCCCAGTTCTGGTACTGTAAATGTATTATTGACATTACAGAGTCGGTGATGCCCAGTTCTGGTACTGTAAATGTATTATTGACATTACAGAGTCGGTGATGCCCAGTTCTGGTACTGTAAATGTATTATTGACATTACAGAGTCGGTGATGCCCAGTTCTGGTACTGTAAATGTATTATTGACATTACAGAGTCGGTGATGCCCAGTTCTGGTACTGTAAATGTATTATTGACATTACAGAGTCGGTGATGCCCAGTTCTGGTACTGTAAATGTATTATTGACATTACAGAGTCGGTGATGCCCAGTTCTGGTACTGTAAATGTATTATTGACATTACAGAGTCGGTGATGCCCAGTTCTGGTACTGTAAATGTATTATTGACATTACAGAGTCGGTGATGCCCAGTTCTGGTACTGTAAATGTATTATTGACATTACAGAGTCGGTGATGCCCAGTTCTGGTACTGTAAATGTATTATTGACATTACAGAGTCGGTGATGCCCAGTTCTGGTACTGTAAATGTATTATTGACATTACAGAGTCGGTGATGCCCAGTTCTGGTACTGTAAATGTATTATTGACATTACAGAGTCGGTGATGCCCAGTTCTGGTACTGTAAATGTATTATTGACATTACAGAGTCGGTGATGCCCAGTTCTGGTACTGTAAATGTATTATTGACATTACAGAGTCGGTGATGCCCAGTTCTGGTACTGTAAATGTATTATTGACATTACAGAGTCGGTGATGCCCAGTTCTGGTACTGTAAATGTATTATTGACATTACAGAGTCGGTGATGCCCAGTTCTGGTACTGTAAATGTATTATTGACATTACAGAGTCGGTGATGCCCAGTTCTGGTACTGTAAATGTATTATTGACATTACAGAGTCGGTGATGCCCAGTTCTGGTACTGTAAATGTATTATTGACATTACAGAGTCGGTGATGCCCAGTTCTGGTACTGTAAATGTATTATTGACATTACAGAGTCGGTGATGCCCAGTTCTGGTACTGTAAATGTATTATTGACATTACAGAGTCGGTGATGCCCAGTTCTGGTACTGTAAATGTATTATTGACATTACAGAGTCGGTGATGCCCAGTTCTGGTACTGTAAATGTATTATTGACATTACAGAGTCGGTGATGCCCAGTTCTGGTACTGTAAATGTATTATTGACATTACAGAGTCGGTGATGCCCAGTTCTGGTACTGTAAATGTATTATTGACATTACAGAGTCGGTGATGCCCAGTTCTGGTACTGTAAATGTATTATTGACATTACAGAGTCGGTGATGCCCAGTTCTGGTACTGTAAATGTATTATTGACATTACAGAGTCGGTGATGCCCAGTTCTGGTACTGTAAATGTATTATTGACATTACAGAGTCGGTGATGCCCAGTTCTGGTACTGTAAATGTATTATTGACATTACAGAGTCGGTGATGCCCAGTTCTGGTACTGTAAATGTATTATTGACATTACAGAGTCGGTGATGCCCAGTTCTGGTACTGTAAATGTATTATTGACATTACAGAGTCGGTGATGCCCAGTTCTGGTACTGTAAATGTATTATTGACATTACAGAGTCGGTGATGCCCAGTTCTGGTACTGTAAATGTATTATTGACATTACAGAGTCGGTGATGCCCAGTTCTGGTACTGTAAATGTATTATTGACATTACAGAGTCGGTGATGCCCAGTTCTGGTACTGTAAATGTATTATTGACATTACAGAGTCGGTGATGCCCAGTTCTGGTACTGTAAATGTATTATTGACATTACAGAGTCGGTGATGCCCAGTTCTGGTACTGTAAATGTATTATTGACATTACAGAGTCGGTGATGCCCAGTTCTGGTACTGTAAATGTATTATTGACATTACAGAGTCGGTGATGCCCAGTTCTGGTACTGTAAATGTATTATTGACATTACAGAGTCGGTGATGCCCAGTTCTGGTACTGTAAATGTATTATTGACATTACAGAGTCGGTGATGCCCAGTTCTGGTACTGTAAATGTATTATTGACATTACAGAGTCGGTGATGCCCAGTTCTGGTACTGTAAATGTATTATTGACATTACAGAGTCGGTGATGCCCAGTTCTGGTACTGTAAATGTATTATTGACATTACAGAGTCGGTGATGCCCAGTTCTGGTACTGTAAATGTATTATTGACATTACAGAGTCGGTGATGCCCAGTTCTGGTACTGTAAATGTATTATTGACATTACAGAGTCGGTGATGCCCAGTTCTGGTACTGTAAATGTATTATTGACATTACAGAGTCGGTGATGCCCAGTTCTGGTACTGTAAATGTATTATTGACATTACAGAGTCGGTGATGCCCAGTTCTGGTACTGTAAATGTATTATTGACATTACAGAGTCGGTGATGCCCAGTTCTGGTACTGTAAATGTATTATTGACATTACAGAGTCGGTGATGCCCAGTTCTGGTACTGTAAATGTATTATTGACATTACAGAGTCGGTGATGCCCAGTTCTGGTACTGTAAATGTATTATTGACATTACAGAGTCGGTGATGCCCAGTTCTGGTACTGTAAATGTATTATTGACATTACAGAGTCGGTGATGCCCAGTTCTGGTACTGTAAATGTATTATTGACATTACAGAGTCGGTGATGCCCAGTTCTGGTACTGTAAATGTATTATTGATGTTACAGAGTCGGTGATGCCCAGTTCTGGTACTGTAAATGTATTATTGACATTACAGAGTCGGTGATGCCCAGTTCTGGTACGTTTGTGGTGAAGCTTCCCTACCCCACTGGAGGTGTCGGGATTACCATGAGTAGTAAGTTTTTTCTGTCACACACATCCATCACAGCTCCAGCAGGATAGATATTCACTACTTTGTAGCTAGTACTTTGAATATTACTAATGAAATTTGTACATTATAGAAAATACTAAAAATGTATGTTCATGCTATAAATATTTCTTAAAACAAAAGATGAAATTCCTTAAATGAGTCATGTTTTGAATATAATGAAATTTTATGTTTTTTCGAAATAGGGGCACCTAAGGACAAAGTCAATGAACAGCTTATAATCACAGGAGTGCAGAAGGGCAGTGTGGCTTACAGGTAAGGTAGGATTAAAAAAATGAATCTTGCACAGACAATGTCACTTACAGGTAAGTTCAAACCCTATCATCAATGGGATTGAAGTCGATAATTAATGCCAGGGGGAAGTGTATATACATGTATTGCAAGGTCAATAACCCACTTATCCCCCAACCCTGTCATCTTGACCTGAACCAACAAAATCAACAATAAAAAATTATAAAGCATCAAACATTAAACATTGATAAAAGGAGGTCACATAACTTAAAAACTTTAATAAAGATATATATTTAGAATGACAAAATTTTGTGAGTTTCTTTTCAAACATGTTAAATGTTCCTTGGATTTAACAACACCTGTGTATCTGTTACTGGTAAATGGTATGTCTGTGTTCACTAGGTGTGGATCTGTCCAGCCTGGGGACAAACTGTTGACCATCAATGACATCAGGACAGACAACCTGAGCATGGAGGAGGCGGAGAACACCCTACAGAGCTGGGACGACATTGTGAAACTCAAACTCAAACGAGAGGATCCTTACACAGGTAACTACTTAATACCTAGCTCTGACAGCAGAAATAACAGGCAGACACCAGCTCTAGTGGGATAAACTTTACACAGGTAAATACTTAATACCTAGCTCTGACAGCAGAAACGCCAGTCAGACACCAGCTCCAGTGGGATAAACTTGACACAGGTAAATACTTAATACCTAGCTCTGACAGCAGAAACGACAGTCAGACACCAGCTCTAGTGGGATAAACTTTACACAGGTTAATACTTAAAACCTAGCTCTGACAGCAGAAACAACAGTCAGACACAAGCTCCAATAGGAGAAACGACAGTCAGACACCAGCTCTGGTGGGATAAACTTTACACAGGTTAATACTTAAAACCTAGCTCTGACAGCAGAAATGACAGGCAGACACCAGCTCTAGTGGGATAAACCTTACACAGGTAAATACTTAATCCCTAGCTCTGACAGCAGAAATGACAGGCAGACACCAGCTCTAGTGGGGTAAACTTTACACCGGTAAATACTTAATACCTAGCTCTGACAGCAGTAATAACAGGCAGACACCAGCTCTAGTGGGATAAACTTTACACCGGTAAATACTTAATACCTAGCTCTGACAGCAGAAACGACAGTCAGACAACAGCTCCAGTGGGATAAACTTGACACGGGTAAATACTTAATACCTAGCTCTGACAGCAGTAACGACAGTCAGACACCTGCTCAAGTGGGATAAACTTTACACAGGTCAATACTTAATACCTAGCTCTGACAGCAGAAACGACAGTCAGACACCAGCTCTAGTGGGATAAACTTAACACAGGTAAATACTTAATACCTAGCTCTGACAGCAGAAACAACAGTCAGACACCAGCTCAAGTGGGATAAACTTTACACAGGTAAATACTTAATACCTAGCTCTGACAGCAGAAACAACAGTCAGACACCAGCTCTAGTGGGATAAACTTTACACAGGTAAATACTTAATACCTAGCTCTGACAGCAGAAACAACAGTCAGACACCAGCTCTAGTGGGATAAACTTTACACAGGTAAATACTTAATACCTAGCTCTGACAGCAGAAACAACAGTCAGACACCAGCTCTAGTGGGATAAACTTTACACAGGTAAATACTTAATACCTAGCTCTGACAGCAGAAACAACAGTCAGACACCAGCTCTAGTGGGATAAACTTTACACAGGTAAATACTTAATACCTAGCTCTGACAGCAGAAACAACAGTCAGACACCAGCTCTAGTGGGATAAACTTTACACAGGTAAATACTTAATACCTAGCTCTGACAGCAGAAACAACAGTCAGACACCAGCTCTAGTGGGATAAACTTTACACAGGTAAATACTTAATACCTAGCTCTGACAGCAGAAACAACAGTCAGACACCAGCTCTAGTGGGATAAACTTTACACAGGTAAATACTTAATACCTAGCTCTGACAGCAGAAACAACAGTCAGACACCAGCTCTAGTGGGATAAACTTTACACAGGTAAATACTTAATACCTAGCTCTGACAGCAGAAACAACAGTCAGACACCAGCTCTAGTGGGATAAACTTTACACAGGTAAATACTTAATACCTAGCTCTGACAGCAGAAACAACAGTCAGACACCAGCTCTAGTGGGATAAACTTTACACAGGTAAATACTTAATACCTAGCTCTGACAGCAGAAACAACAGTCAGACACCAGCTCTAGTGGGATAAACTTTACACAGGTAAATACTTAATACCTAGCTCTGACAGCAGAAACAACAGTCAGACACCAGCTCTAGTGGGATAAACTTTACACAGGTAAATACTTAATACCTAGCTCTGACAGCAGAAACGACAGTCAGACACCAGCTCTAGTGGGATAAACTTTACACAGGTAAATACTTAATACCTAGCTCTGACAGCAGAAACGACAGTCAGACACCAGCTCTAGTGGGATAAACTTTACACAGGTAAATACTTAATACCTAGCTCTGACAGCAGAAACGACAGTCAGACACCAGCTCTAGTGGGATAAACTTTACACAGGTAAATACTTAATACCTAGCTCTGACAGCAGAAACGACAGTCAGACACCAGCTCTAGTGGGATAAACTTTACACAGGTAAATACTTAATACCTAGCTCTGACAGCAGAAACGACAGTCAGACACCAGCTCTAGTGGGATAAACTTTACACAGGTAAATACTTAATACCTAGCTCTGACAGCAGAAACGACAGTCAGACACCAGCTCTAGTGGGATAAACTTTACACAGGTAAATACTTAATACCTAGCTCTGACAGCAGAAACGACAGTCAGACACCAGCTCTAGTGGGATAAACTTTACACAGGTAAATACTTAATACCTAGCTCTGACAGCAGAAACGACAGTCAGACACCAGCTCTAGTGGGATAAACTTTACACAGGTAAATACTTAATACCTAGCTCTGACAGCAGAAACGACAGTCAGACACCAGCTCTAGTGGGATAAACTTTACACAGGTAAATACTTAATACCTAGCTCTGACAGCAGAAACGACAGTCAGACACCAGCTCTAGTGGGATAAACTTTACACAGGTAAATACTTAATACCTAGCTCTGACAGCAGAAACGACAGTCAGACACCAGCTCTAGTGGGATAAACTTTACACAGGTAAATACTTAATACCTAGCTCTGACAGCAGAAACGACAGTCAGACACCAGCTCTAGTGGGATAAACTTTACACAGGTAAATACTTAATACCTAGCTCTGACAGCAGAAACGACAGTCAGACACCAGCTCTAGTGGGATAAACTTTACACAGGTAAATACTTAATACCTAGCTCTGACAGCAGTAACGACAGTCAGACACCAGCTCCAGTGGGATAAACTTTACACCGGCATCCGGCGTCAATATTTTACTTTAAACAACTTCTTCTTGATAACCAAAAGGCCTAGGGTAATGATATTTAGCCAGAAGCAAACTAGGATGAAGGGCTACCAAGTTCGTTCAAATAAATGACCTACACCTATTATCAAGGTCACAGGGGTCAATTGTCTTAAAAAATCTTTATACAACTTCTTCTGAATAACCAAGAGGCCTAGAATAATGATATTTGGCCAGTAGCATGCTTGGATGAAGGTATACCAAGTTTGTTCAAATGAATGTCCTTCGTCAATTTTCAAGGTCACAGGGGGCAATTGTCTTAAAAAATCTTTATACAACTTCTTCTGAATAACTAAGAGGCCTAGGCTAATGCTATTTGGCCAGTAGCATGCTTGGATGAAGGTATACCAAGTTTGTTCAAATGAATGACCTTGACTCATATTCAAGTTCACAGGGGTCAAATATGTTAATAACCTTTAAACAACTTCTTCTCAATAACTGAAAGTCTTAGGATGATGATATTTGGCCAGTAGCATGCTGGGATAAAGGGCAACCAAGTTTATTCAAATGAATGATCTTTACTTATATTCAAGGTCACAGGGGTCATATAGGTTTAAAACTTTTATTCAACTTCTTCTGAATAACCAAGAGGCCTAGAATAATGATATTTGGCCAGTAGCATGCTGGGATAAAGGGCTATCAAGTTTGTTCAAATGAATGACCTTTACATATATTCAAGGTCACAGGGGTCAAATATGTTTAAAACCTTTAAACGACTTCTTCTAAATTAGCCAAAGGCCAAGGGTGATGATATTTGGTAATTAACAGGCTGGGATGAAGGGCTACCAATTTTGTCAAAAATGAATGACCTTCTCCCATATTCAAGGTCACAGTGGTCAATATATGTTTAAATCTTAAAACGACTTGTTCTTTATAACCAATAGGTCAAGGGCTATGATATTTTGCCAAAAGCATGCTGGGTTGGAAGACTTTAAACTCTGTTCAACCTAATGTCCTTGTTCGACGGTCAAGGTCACAGGCGTCATATGTTTAAATCTTTTAATCGGTTCTTATGAATCAAACACTGATATTCTGCCTGTAGCTGTATTTTAGTCCGCTTTTAAGATTACAAGTGTGAGATTAATACCAGGTGAGCGATTCAGGCCCATTGGGCCTCTTGTATTTATATTGCTGTGTTACAGTTGTTGTGTTGCTATGTTATATTTATGTTGCCATGTTATAGTTGTTGTGTTGCTATGTTACAGATGACAGTGGGGAGGAGTGTGTTACATACACAGTGGAGTTACAGCGCCACGGTGGCCCTCTGGGTATTACCATATCAGGGACAGACAACCCTGCCGACCCCATCATCATCTCAGATATCATAGAGGGAGGCTTGGCTGAACGGTAAGCTTTATGTACATGGTACAGAGGCATACAGTTAATGATTTCCTAAAGATTGCTTACAACATATAATACATTATTTCTACTTTAACCATTTGGAAGAAAATTGTTAGATATGTCTTTTTTGATAAAGCATGATTTACATGGTTAAGATTATTGCAAAGTAATGTCACATTAATCTGACACATACTGCTGGATAGGTTTTTCATCTTACAAAGAAAAACATTCAAGTCCAAAAGTTTAAAGTGTATCTGGTGAATTGTTATTATTTTTGGAACATTTACAAAACCTTTAATCTTCTTAAAAATTATACAATTATACAATTGAAAAACAATATTGGATTGAACTCATTAGTCCTAGCACTGCAAGGTTTTGTCATACCAGGTACATCATTTTTCAAACTCAATATGAATGTTGAAATAGTCAGATACATGTATTATTACATTTGTTGGTAATTCATGTAAGATTTTGTTCAAAACATATATAATCTAGATTGTATTATTACTTTTAGAAGGTCTTATAATTGCACTGACAAGATAAAATGTTGGTATTGGAAAAAAGTAAGAAAAGTAACTAGAATATAGAAAAAAGGTCAAATTTTGTGATTATTGAATCTCAAATAGGGATCATAAAAATATTGTTGAAGCTAATTCATTAACAAAGAAATACTATGGTTTCCAGGACGGCTGCTATACACATGGGTGACAGACTGCTGGCCATCAATGGTACAACTACCAGGGCACGCACTCTCACCGATGCTACGCAAATGTTACAGACGGCCGGAGACAGGGTCAACCTGAGGATCGCCCGTCCAGCAGAGACATCCAGTAAGTTTGCAGATAGTGTTATTTTAGCATCTCTTGTGTACCCTAATGTGTCTACATACCTGTCAGAGTGTTAATAAATATAACTCCACAAACCAGGTTTAAGGGGTCACTAGGATTAGCCTTTCTGTCCATTCATCTGTAGACATATTGGTTTCTTGACCTACGTGTGTTCATTTTTTAGCTGCATTCCATCAAATTGCATGTTTCTGCAGTAAGATAAGTAACTTTCCACCTGGGACCTTAAATCTCCGTATGTTGATAACGGTATTTAACCCATGAAATATGGAGAAGATCTCTTGATAGTAGGGTCAAATGGCAAGGTTACAGTGAGCGATCATGTTGAAATGAGTTCCAGGGCCCACTTGTATAAAACATCTCAACACTTGAGATTTCCTCAAGTCTAAGATTTCCCATAGACAATACATTGCTTGAGATTTTCCTTAACCTTGAGATGTTTTATACAAGTGGGCCCAGGATCTTACATATGGTAGGTTATCTTATAATTTAGATCTTGAAACTTCATAAGATCTTTTGATTTGGGGATGAAAATGTTGCATCACCATACGAAAAATGTTTCTACACTCTAAATAGCACATCTTTCTGCTTGGGAGTTTGTGATTTCATAGAATAGCTATTTTTGTGTTTATGAGGAAGGAATTAAGGATTAAAGGTTGAATGTCAAGGCCTCATGAAGCTATTTTGGTGTATAATTTTGTTAATGGAACAAATGTGTTCAGTCTGCCATTAGTTTGATAAATGATGTTAACATCATGGGAAGTTCATGAATAAGCGAACAAAATAGTGTACATCAAATTCCACTTCATATCTTAGGCCATACACAACAATAGGTAATATATTTCCCTCCTTTGTTTCAGAAACAAAGAATAAAAAGTTGCAGTTGGTAAGTGATTTTCATTTGAAATTGGGAAACTATTTAAAAATTCAAAAGCTGATTAAGAACATTGTAGACACAACTAAGGAGTTATAATTAAAGATTTCTATAAACAGATTTTGAACTTTCAAATACATACGATCCCTATAAGTTTATTTCCTTTAATAGAAAACAGCTTCCGCTGCATTCTTCAAAGTGTAATGCTGGCATTTCTGTGAAATGTATTCAAGTTTGATAAGACAGTTGTGAGAATTTTAAAGTATGTGAATGTGTATTTCTATATTGTCAGCCTGACCGGTCCACCACCCCTATAGCCAGTGTGGATAGTGCCATGGAGTCCTGGGACAGCTCCGGGCCAGACGTGGGTTCAGGGACAGGGGCACACGCCCTCATTGTTGGCAAGCCCCTTCCCAAGACCAAGACCAGTGGTAGGTATTGATGCCAGGGTTAGAAGTGGTAGGTCCTGAGACCAGGGTTAGAAGTGGTAGGTATTGATGCCAGGGTTAGAAGTGGTAGATCCTGAGACCAGGGTTAGAAGTGGTAGGTCCTGAGACCAGGGTTAGAAGTGGTAGGTCCTGAGACCAGGGTTAGAAGTGGTAGGTCCCGAGACCAGGGTTAGAAGTGTAGAAGTGGTAGGTCCTGAGACCAGGGTTAGAAGTGGTAGATCCTGAGACCAGGGTTAGAAGTGGTAGGTCCTGAGACCAGGGTTAGAAATGGTAGGTCCTGAGACCAGGGTTAGAAGTGGTAGGTCCTGAGACCAGGGTTAAAAGAGTTAGAAAAGTCTCATATCCAAGATTTTGCAAATTATTCAATTGTTCAAGTTGTGCATTGTAACTTCCATCCTCATGAAATAAAATCTTATGTTCCAAAAGGAAATAAAGAACATTTTTTATAGTATTTCTTGTTGCAGTTAATACAATGCATATTTTTCACAAAAAATTGGCATTCTGATTAATCAGGCAAATATACTTCAAATGCAGGTCAGTTTCACCATATTTCTTTCTATATAAAAGATACTGTCATCATTTCTATCTCTATTTCTTCACATGTGTAGTGTCCCAATCCCAGGATTCTGCCAACTTTGCTACAGAAACCATTGGGAATGGTTGTAGTGAGTTCAATCCGTCCGACTCGGAGTGGGACAACTACAGTAATGGTAGTCATGACAACGGCAGTGACGACGGAGACGGTAGTGATTGGCAGATCAGTAAAGCATTTAAAGACTACGAAAACCAATCTGAAATGTTGAAACAAATCAGTGCAAGTCTACAACAGCGAGGAACAGCAAGCCTGGACAGACGGAAATCTTCCGAACAGAAATCACAGTTGTTGAAAAATTTCTCTCATAGTACTGCAAAGGATTTCTCGAGTGAAAGTGAACTTCATCATATGTCAGGGCGGTCCAAACAGGGTGTGAAGTGTAGAGACAATCGGTTAAGAACTGAAGCCTACCAGGATCATGTGAAAACCATCTTCTCGCCTACGGCTGTACAGTTACACAAAGTGAAACTTGTAAAAGAAACAGCAATAGACGATTTTGGATTTGGTTTGTCTGATGGAATGTACGAAAAAGGTGTTTACATCAGCGGGGTACGGGAGGGAAGTTTAGCCGACAAGGCCGGAGTCAAACAGTTTGATAGAATACTCCAGGTAGGTGAATTGGCATCAAATGAAGTCCGATGATTTTGTTATTTCCGGCCACAAAGTGGTGCAGGGGAAATAGTGTTTCAAATGTCTGTACCTATGTTCAGTCAGTTAAGTTTTTGCATTTAAGTCACTTAACATGGTAATGTGAGATAGTTATCATAAAGTGTTTTAGACTAATTTTACTAATTATATAGGGTGCTATATAAATGTTGTATATTATTATTATCAGTATGTGCCTTCATGATAAAAACGGTTACACATTATTTTGTGACCGTAACCTTTGTGACCTTACTTTGACCTTTACTCTTGGATCGCTAACAGATTGTTAAAAACAAATTCTGGTGTTTGCCTCTTTCTGTATTTGTTATGAAACAATAATTATGAATTTTATTCTGCAATTTGCATTTGTTGTTCATATTTTGTAAATATTGTTCTTTGTCTATTCCAGGTGAATGGCCATAAAACACCAGACTTTGATTGTTGTTTGACGATACCTTTGATCACAAAGGCGGGGAATAAACTGGACTTGATTATATGTCGTAACCCTATCGCCAAGACTAAGAGTCCCGCAGTGGAGGGGAAGGGGAAAGACACAAAAACAGTCAGAGATCATAACTCGGTGGATTGCTCACAGCCCTACATGAATGTGTCGCATTTGGTAAAGGGGTTTGAAACTCCTAAGAGTGTGTGAGATTCCCTGTGTGTATGGAAAGGTGGACACACCCATAAGTGTGTGGTGTTATGTGTGTGAGATAATCACTCATGTGAGATAATCACTCAACTGTGATATTGTTTTTTTAGATATTTGGGGTGTTGACATGAACGACAAAATTACGTCAATAGAAATTTAAATATCAGTTGTTAAGCCTGTTCCAAATAATGCAAAATTTGAAATCTTTTTTTGGGAGATACCTAAAAATTAAATGTTTGTTTTGTCTGAAAGTTTTTGAATTCCAATACATTTTGGAACATATGCCTCCTGGAACATGTGCACTCTTTGTTAGTTGCCATTAACCTGATCTAGTTTGAGACAAATGGACCCTCTTATTGATCCATTGTGCAACTGTTTGGTATCATCATTCTCTTAAATCTATCAGCGAAATTTCCTTTTATGATATACTTTCCAGATGATTTTTTTCTGTGCACCTATATTTCATATCTCAGAGAAATAAAAAGCTAATAGAGAAAAAACCTGATACCCGTTTGTTCTTCAATGACAAATTGAAAAGCAATGAAATGTTTGACTGAAACAGATGTTTAGGATTGTCAGGCAGTGTTTAAATGGATTTCTTAGGTGTCATGGAGCAGTATCTACCCTTATTTTATTGTCAAGTGGATCTGTCAGCTACTGGTTAGCCGTAAAGCAGGTACTAGATCATCAGGCAAAGTAATGAACTTAACCAGCTTCTAAAGTGTCATAGATCTGTAGTAGATTTTATCTTGTCTATTGGGGCTTCCAGATTCTGATGTGTCATAGAGCAGATACTATATTGCCAAGTGGATCTGTCAGCTACTGGTGAGCCATAAAGTAGGGACTAGATTGTCAAAAAAAGTAACAAACTTTACCAGCTTCTAAAGTGTTATAGATCTGTAGTAGATTTTATCTATTGGGGCTTACAGATTCTGATGTGTCATAGAGCAGATACTATTCCGTCTTTGCGTATTGCAGAGTTATCTTCTGTTGTGAGCAGGTATTGATTGTTACGTCATTGGTTTGTGTGAGAAAATTACTTTGTTTTCTCAAAAAATTATGACGTTACTCTCACAAACAAATGACGTAACAACCAATACCTGCAATTCGAAAAGACGGAATATTGTCTAGGGGGATAACAGCTTCTGGTGTGTTCATGAGCAAGTAATAGATAGTCAGGTGAGGTTACCAGCTTCTGGTGTTCATGAGCAAGTACAATATAGATTGTCATGTTCATGAGCAAGTAATAGATTGTTGGATGAGGTTACCAGTTTCTGGTGTGTTCATGAGCATGTAATAAATGGTCAGGTGTGGTTAAATGTCACATTCTGGTGGAAATATTAGATCTGTAGTAAGTTATGTCCTATGTGGTGGAGCTACCAACTCCCTACTTGCAATCAAGTAGAATCTAGATTGTCTGGTGAGGCTACTGGCTTCTGGTGTGTCATAGAACAGGTACCATCTTGTCTGGCGGAGTAAACATTTGTTTATTGAATACCTCAGGATAATATACACTTCAAAGATTGTGACATCATAAACTTTGATATTTCTATCTTCTAAAGAACTTTTGAGAGGGCTTCTGCAATTGTTTACTCTATACTCAAGCTAACATTTTTTAGTATAGGGAGTGCTGTATAATGAAGATTTTAGGAAACAAATCTTCGTTGTTAGGTTCTACCCCTGAAGCTATGAGATGAACACACGACGGTTCTTTCACTTGCACCACGAGTCAAAAGTATCTATATCTCAGATTTAACGCCAGAATTTTTAAAGAGAAATAACCCAGAGTATCTTCCCTAGGCTCAAATACATGCTGTTAGTTTGGTTGTGTCCGTGATTGAAAGGAAAAGTTGGTTGTTGGTCTGTTGGATTTAAACAGAGTTTATATGATTATATAATTACTTGTTGAATTCCATATGAAATTTTATATTTGAATGATAATTATATCATTCAACATTGTTGGCATGAGATTAGTTATAAGAATTATTTTTGAAAAATAAAAATAAAATTTAGATGTCAAAATTTTGATTTCAGTAAATTTATAATTTAGTTTTTGCTTATAGAAAAGCATTTATCTTCCTTTGCTATGATATAAGTTCACTAATTTATTTGAATTTTGATTTCTGCAGTATATTTCAGTATGTACACTTCTATAGCCCAACTCTATTCAATGTCTTATGTGTGTGGATCATAAGATCTGAAATTGCATTGATGTGACTAAAATTTGGAATCTGTTGTTACATTAATTAATATAATTAGACTTTGAGATGTGTAGTTATATTGATGTGACTAGAATGTAAGATCTGTAGCTACATGGATGTGATTAGAATTTAAAATCTGTAGTTACATTAATTAATGTAATTAGACTTTAAGATCTGTAGTTACATTAATGTGACTAAACTTTGAGATATGTAGTTACATTAATTAATGTAATTAGACTTTGAGATCTGTAGTTACATTAATGTGATAAGACTTTGAGATCTGTAGTTACATTAATGTGACTAGAATTTGAGATTTGTAGTTACATTAATGTAATTAGACTTTGAGATCTGTAGTTACATTAATGTGACTAGAATTTGAGATCTGTAGTTACATCAATGTGACTAGAATTTGAGATCTGTAGTGATATTAATATAATTAGAATTTGAGGTCTGTAGTTACATTGATGTGATTAGACTTTGAGATCTGTAGTTACATTAATGTGACTTAACTTTGAGATTTGTAGTTACATTAATGTAATTAGAATTTAAGGTCTGTAGTTACATTAATGTAATTAGACTTTGAGATCTGTAGTTACATTAATGTGATTAGACTTTGAAGTATGTAGTTACATTAATGTGACTACAATTTGAGATCTGTAGTTACATTAATGTGACTAGACTTTGAGATCTGTAGTTACATTAATGTGACTAAACTTTGAGATTTGTAGTTACATCAATGTAATTAGAATTTGAGGTCTGTAGTACCATTAATGTGATTAGACTTTGAGATCTGTAGTCACATTAATGTGACTAGAATATGAGATCTGTAGTTACATTAATGTGATAAGACTTTGAGATCTGTAGTTACATTAATGTGACTAGAATTTGAGATCTGTAGTTACATTAATGTGACTAAACTTTGAGATATGTAGTTACATTAATGTGACTAGAATTTGAGATCTGTAGTTACATCAATGTGACTAGACTTTGAGATCTGTAGTTACATTAATGTGATTAGACTTTGAGGTCTGTAGTTACATTAATGTGACTAGACTTTGAGATCTGTAGTTACATTAATGTAATTAGACTTTGAGATCTGTATTTACATTATTGTGACTAGAATTTGAGGTCTGTAGTTACATTTATGTGATTAGACTTTGAGGTCTGTAGTTACATTAATGTGGCTAGACTTTGAGATCTGTAGTTACATTAATGTAATTAGACTTTGAGATCTGTAGTAACATTTATGTGATTAGACTTTCAGGTCTGTAGTTACATTTATGTGATTAGACTTTGAGGTCTGTAGTTACATTAATGTAATTAGACTTTGAGATCTGTAGTTACATCAATGTGACTAAATTTGAGGTCTGTAGTTACATTAATGTAATTAGAATTTGAGGTCTGTAGTTACATTAATGTGATTAGACTTTGAGATATGTAGTTACATTAATGTGACTAAACTTTGAGATTTGTAGTTACATTAATGTAATTAGAATTTGAGGTCTGTAGTTACATTAATGTGATAAGACTTTGAGATCTGTAGTACCATTAATGTGACTAGAATTTGAGATCTGTAGTTACATCAATGTGACTAGACTTTGAGATCTGTAGTTACATAAATGTGATTAGACTTTGAGGTATGTAGTTACATTAATGTGACTACAATTTGAGATATGTAGTTACATTAATGTGACTAGACTTTGAGGTATGTAGTTACATTAATGTGATTAGACTTTGAGATCTGTAGTACCATTAATGTGACTAGACTTTGAGATCTGTAGTTACATTAATGTGACTAAATTTGAGATCTGTAGTTACATTAATGTGACTAGACTTTGCGATCTGTAGTTACATTAATGTGATTAGACTTTGAGATATGTAGTTACATTAATGTGACTACAATTTGAGATCTGTAGTTACATTAATGTGACTAGACTTTGAGATCTGTAGTTACATTAATGTGACTAAACTTTGAGATTTGTAGTTACATTAATGTAATTAGAATTTGAGGTCTGTAGTACCATTAATGTGATTTGACTTTGAGATCTGTAGTTACATTAATGTGACTACAATTTGAGATCTGTAGTTACATTAATGTGACTAGACTTTGAGATCTGTAGTTACATCAATGTGATTAGACTTTGAGGTCTGTAGTTACATTAATGTGACTAGAATTTGAGATCTGTAGTTACATCAATGTGACTAGAATTTGAGATCTGTAGTTACATTAATGTGACTAGACTTTGAGATCTGTAGTTACATTAATGTAATTAGACTTTGAGATCTGTAGTTACATTTATGTGATTAGACTTTGAGGTCTGTAGTTACATTAATGTAATTAGACTTTGAGATCTGTAGTTACATCAATGTGACTAGAATTTGAGGTCTGTAGTGATATTTTTGTGACTAGAATTTAAGATCTGTAGTTAATTAAGGTAATTAGACATTGGGATATGAAGTTACAGTAATGCATTAAAATTAAAAAAAAATCTCTGACTGGATTATTGATTGGGAAAGTCTAGTTTATATTTTATATATAATATATATAATAATTTACACTATGTACAGTGTTTTATACAGACCAGTGTAGTCAGTGTCATTTTTGTGTACATTTAAGCTGATTTGCGTATTATAATTTGATTGTGTAACATGCACTTAAGTATACATTACCTTGTCGGTATGTGTGTTGCATAACTAACCTCTTGAAAGAAAAGGAACCTATGCATAATGGGCCTAGCTATAAAACAGGTTATAACCAATTATATTAAATATCAAATTATTGTATGATATTTACAACTGTTTGTACATTGTCATGGTAGTTTTATAGTGGAAATGAAAATCATGAAATCAAATTTACAATCATTGAAAGATGATCAGATTGACAAGTATCTATATTGTGTACAGACAGCTGAACTAATTATTTACTTACATTACCTACCTTTACATAATGACACTAATTACATGTTATGTGAACTGATATAGTATTGTCCATGTATGTCGACCTGATCCAGCTAATTAATCTGGTTCATTGATAAAAAAAATCAAGAAATATTCAAACGGGATGTGCAATATACCATCTAAATCGTTATGTGTATTCATTACAATCAGAACTGCTCTAAACTGCATCCATCGATATACAATTGTTTTGTTTTGTGGTCCAAGCCTGACACACTCAATTATCGATTCTTGCTCGAGCAATGTTCCGTATAAAAATACCTCAAAATATTCCGATCTTTTTTAATTATTAAGAAGTTTAGATCACCTAAATTAAATAATGTGTTAAGATTTCTATAAATGATATTCTACTAATTTTTTTTTTTTTTTTCATTTATGGATAAATATATGGAGGAACGACATTGGTCAGCTCATTATGTTTCCACAAATTGAGTTGTCCGAAGTTTTAAGGATATATATATTGTAACCCATTCAAAAGAGTTCCCTATCTAATTAAAATTAATAAGAAACTTGTAAAATATGAATTATGAGTGATGGACTACATTAATTTATTGATGACACAATTGAATGGTATAAATGAGATAATAATTGGGCAGTTCTGAATTATTAGACAATGCTACATTGATGGTTAAAACTTTATAAGGGAGATAACTCTTTTCACACAAAGTAAGGTAGCATATACCCTTAACATCAGTGAGTGGATGAATAATGGTTCATGCCTAGTAATATAAACAATCCTTCACAATAAACTGAACAAATTCTATCCTGGTGACTGAATTATCAACTAGACTTTATGTGCTAATTAACGAACATGTTTAGTCCATTGTAAAATGAGATTTAAAAAAAAAATTATACAAATAATGT